GACGACAAGATAAAGTTGTCAAAGCGAGGTTAATCCACGGCTCTTAATCGAAAGGTGGCTGCGACTATACCGAGGGCCATACCATCTTTGTCTTCATGTCTTCGATTTACAAAATGAGACGACCAATTAACTCGTTTGGCTCTGCACGACTGGAGTTGAAGATGGGCATAGATACAGCCCGGGCCATAGTCAATTCGCGACAGTTTGACTCCTCACGTTCACGCATTACTCCGGCCCAACGCCAGCAGCACACGGTCACGGTGCCGATCTCGGCTCCATAGCACTCCTGGACTCAGTGAATCTGTTGACTCTATCTTCCCACAAGCACCACAAAGTGTGGCACCAAAGCACAGACGCAAGAGCCTTCTTTCCCGGGAAAGTTGACATTTTCAAGCCGACCCCACCTCTCAGAGTTGACCGAGCGGACATGTCCCATTTCGGCCACCCAATGAGCATGGAGTGGAGACAAACCGGCCAGTTTGCGGCCGGTACCAGCTGCCAGTCTCCTCTACGACATGGCCTTTTTGTCGAAAAGGTGAGCGATGTCAATCTCGTCATGTCTCCTGTGCGCCGCCGGTTGCGATGGACAAGCTGACTACTTGATTACTTTCGCTACGAGTGCGTAGATGCAGTCTTTCAGTCATTTGCCTCTCGCAGAAATGCGCCAGACTTTTGGTTCCGCCTCGTCTCAATGTCGGTCGGAGTTTGGCGTTGCAACGAGACGATTGCCAACTCGACATGGCTCCAAGTGCAGGCTTTCGCGAAGCAGATCTGTGAGTGTTTCTGCCTGGACACCAAATGGAGGACCCGCCTAAATTGTCGTTTGACGCTCGACACTCCCAGTCCCATGTACGGATTTTGAGGATGCGGTACTCTGCTTTCACCGACCTCTTGGAAGGCTTTACTGGAACATTCACGGTGAAGCTGTTTCCGAGGCAATCTCCTTCGATTACGGTGCAAAGGGGATAAGCTTTCGTCCGTCATTCGATGAAGATCATCAGAGCAACGTATCATCTTCACAAACAACTTTGAGCTGATGAGTCAAAAAAAAGGCTCATTAACAAAACCAGACGAGTGTCCGACCTTGCGCAATCGGAGTCATGGTTATAATATGTTTGTAGAAAGCGGGAGGTAGGGGTCATCAAAACTTGATGGCAGAAGACAGACGTTACTTTTTGCTGTCCTAATTACTTTGAGCCATCACTGCGGATTTTGTGTACAAGCGAACACAAGCAGGCACATGCACATACAGAGACAGGCACACTAACAGGTTTCGAAGTTGTTATATGACTGTAACCAAGCAAATCACTTTATATTTGATTAAAGAGGCCAGATGTACATTTTTAGGGTTTTGCCAGTGAGTTTTCTTGACTCGTTAACTTGACTTCGGTTGTAATGATGATGCCTTGACGGACGAGAGCTTAGCACCTTTTCACCGTAATTGAAGGAGATTGCCTCGGAAACAGCGTCAACAAGAATGTTCCAGTAGAGCCAATTGACAGAAGATAAAGAGGAATCCTTCGTCGTCTTTTGGTGGAATCGACCAACGCTTTCATTAATAGGCTCACCAATTATGAAACAATAGATTCCCCGAAACCTAACTTTTCTTCGCATATAATGTAATTACGGCAATTCAATTGGTTATTATTATTGAATGATCAAGAATCCAATATGGTAAATATAGCAAGGATGTATTAGTTGAAGATATGAAAACCAAGATTTTTTGGCCCCTGGTATGGTCACAGTCTCCTTTCGATGTATAGAAGTGGACTGTACTCTTTTTCGCAACTTGGTCCTGTTGTCAGGGCGAATTAACAGAACGCACCTATTCCGAAGTTGTCTGCCATAATAGTTGTCATGATTCTCAGCATCAGACAGTGGACTTGGTACATTCTCAAACGGTTGGAAATTATGTCAACTACTATGGCAGACGACTGCGAACTAAGTGCATTCTATTAAGTCGCCCTGACAACAAGACCAAGTTGCGAAAACGAGGTCAGCCCACCTCTACAAAAGGATGTCTTTAGCTGTAGTGCTTGACTTTCTGGCTGGCTTGGTCCATGGGCGGCTTAATTGTCCTTCGTGTTGCTCGATCTTTGTATATGTTGGATGAAATTGTGCAATTTGACATTTTTAGGTTGCTCCATGGGCAGAACCAGTTGCCGAGGCCTTTTTTAGTAAACCTATTTCGGTCATATTGGGCCCGAATCGCTATAAACATTTAATCTTTATATTTCGCATAAAATATCTCTACATCCTATGGGTGTGGTAGTGAGTTCAAATAGTTGTTCATTTATTAGTCATACTTTTCGAGTTGTTTCATATTATTTGCAATTAGATCGCATGAGAATAGTTGGATAGATACTTTAAGAGCATAATACTTTATTTTCGTGTCTTCTGGATTTTGTTTTATTCGTCACTGTCGTTTCTAGTTGTTATCAACTAAAAAAAGTAAGGCAAGATAGTAGTTGACTAAGTGATAGTTAAGCAGTCAGAGGGTGCGAAGAAAAGTCAGGTTTGGTGAAATCGCCTGACTTATGCTTTGAGTAAAAACGTTTAGGGAAGAAATTCAAAGGTCGATCTGACCAGAAGACAACGGCGGATTCCTCTTGTCCAGCCGACGATTGGCTTTACCTTCTTGTAGACGATGCTGCGAGACAATCACCTTCGATTCCGACGAAAATGTGCCAAACTTTTGTCCGTCGTATGACGGACATCATCAGAACATACAGGGTATCATCCTTACAACCATATTCAAGTTACAGAATAAAGAATACCCACTAACTCACCCATGGATACCGTATATATAGCCTATTCCTAAGAGGTATGAGGTGATTTTGTTACTTCAAGTCATATGTTAACCTCGAAGTGTGTGAGTGTTTAATTGCGTGTGTCTATGTGACTTTGTGTGTTTGTATATGTACG